GGCCCCGCGCGCCGGCGCGCGCTGCACGGCCCGAGGCGACGGATCGGGCCGCGGTGCCGCCAGCAGGCTCTGAGATCGTGGGAGATCGGCAGGCTGCCAGCAAGACAGTGAGACCGGAGGCGAGCGAGCGAGCGAGCGCGCGACGACGGTCCGACGGGGACCGGTCCTGCGAGGGCAGCGCGTGGGGGCCGGGGCCCTCGGGAGTAGGAGTCGTCAGTTGGAGCAGGAAGTCGGCGCTGGAGTCGGAAAGGCCGGAATAGGAGTCGGAGGGACGACCGGAGTGGGAGGAGCACGTACAGCGGGGCCAGAGGCGGGGCGGCGAACGGGGGCGGGGCGAGAGCCGAGGAGCACCTACGCCTACACCGACACCAACACCGGCACCTACACCTACACTTACAACTACACCTGCACCTGCACCTGAACCTTCACCTACACCTACACACATGCACGAAGAAGTTCAGATCGGAAGCCGCTCGCACGTCTTCGGCGACAGGCCGGATGACCCTCTCGCCACCCACCATGGACGGCACCTTCTCGCCGCCCACCATGGACGACAACGCTACACGGGCGGTGCTAGCCAAGAGGAGCGAAGATCTGCACAGAGACAATATGATGCACTCCAAGCGGCTTTCATGGATCGGCGCTGGACCTTGCCTCCCTGGCGCCCAGAGAGCGCCAGGGGCGGGGCTGGAGGCGCCGCTACGGGGGTCCAGCTCTGGTCCAAGAAGTCCACCCCGAACTTCGATAGACTGAATATCCACAACGAGTGTGGCTTGACATGGCAAGAGAAGGGCTGATGACAAGCTGAGCTGTTGCCACCGAAATGCCAATATCGCGAGGGGTGGCAGGCGTGCCTCTTGACCTCGGCACCGAGCTGCCTGTGGTCGCAGAAGGCCGACAACATCGAGCATGTGCACTGACCTGGTCAGAATTCCAAGAACATCATCGCGAGCCCCGCTGATCAAAGCAAGAATGTCATAGACTAACCCACGATGCGCATGCCTCCATCCACCACCCAGGGTATCCGACTGCCCGCCTGCCCGCCGACCGCCCCGCCCGCCGCTTGAACGCTCTACCCAATACTCCACAGCCCCCGTGCCCAGCACAACACCCAATGCTCAACAACCTCCGCCCCCAACACAACACCCACTACTCAACGATTCCCGTGCCCGACACAACAGCCACTACTCCACAGCCTCAGCTTACAACGCAAAGCCCACCACTCCACAGCCTCCGCTGCAAGAAGGCATCATTAGGAAAGGCGTTGAAAAACAGAGCCCGCCCGCCCGCCCGCCGACCGCCCCGCGCCAACACACCATCCAATACTCCGCAGCCTCCGCGCCCAACACAACACCCAATACGCAAGAACCTCCGCGCCCAACGCCACACGTACTCCTCAACGGTCGCCGTGCCCGACACGACACCCGCTACCCAGCAGCCCCCTTGTGCAGCTCAACCCCCCTTACTCCGCAACCTCCGCTGAAGGGAGCACCCTTAGGAAATGCATCAGACAATCGAGCCCGCCCGCCTGGGGCCTCCCAAAGGGCCTTCCAAGGGGCTCCCAAGGGACTTCCCGGGAATCCCAGGCCTCGCATGGGGCCGCGCGGCGGCCGACCGGGGGGTTGGGAAACAAGGGCGCGGCGGCAAAATTGGGAGAAAAACGGTAAGGCGGTACAGGTGGAAACGGACGGGACCAGAGGAGAGAGCGGCGAACAGAACACGATGCACGCCTATGCCCCCTAGGGGGGCACATACGCCCAAAAAGGAAAGATGACAGCGATTGACACCGACCCTCGTCGAGGCAGCATCCCTGCCAGCCACTGGCCATCGCTCGGACGTCCATCCCCTGTGCTTTTGTCGATGTCGTGCGTGGTTTCTTTCGCCAGATGATCAGGGATGCTCCTCGACGGTCCTCGCCGAAGGAAACATGCACACGTCCGAGCGAAGCCAGGACCCACTGGTTGCAACATCTGCGTGACAACTTCACCCCAAGGGGCCCGCCGCGACTCCCGCCCTGGGGGCTCAATAGCCGCCCACGACGGCCCTACCTGGCTCCACGGTGCCTCAATCGGGGGAGCCTCGCAGAACACTCGCGCCTTCGGCGGCTCCGAGGCCCAAACAATCGGGGATGGACAGACCTCTCTTTAGCAAAACGTGGTTTAGTGAAAACGACCCGAGGCCCAAACCTGGCGGGCGCAAGCCTGGAAAATAATGGCCGAGGCGCCCTCTCGAGAACCGAAAACGGAGAATTCACTAATCGACGGGTCACTGTTGGGGGTTCTGTCCACCTCCGAAACAAGCCCTCGAGTGCGACTCAAGCGTTTGACACATAAAAAACCTTAGGTCACGAATCTAAGTTGTTGTTTGGGACTCTGGTCCTGGGGTTCATCGTCCTCCTCCTTCTCCTCCTCCTCTTCTGGATTCCCCTGTTGATTTCCGATGAATTCCCGACGGAATCCGATGGATGTCCAACGGAATCCTATGGATGTTCTCCGGAATCCTATGTATGTCCTAAGGGATCCCATGGATGTCCTTAAGAAGCCCCATAAGAAGCATCGATGCAATGGTGCAGCGGTGCAACCGCGACTCGCCATGTACATCATCGCAGCACTGCATCCCAGACTGCTGCCCCAAAAAGGTGGTGCGTCCAAGCTTCCAAGGCTGTGATGGAGGCATCGGGGCCATCCTGCGTGTCATTATGTGCTGTGATGGCATGGTGGCGCGACTGCCGCAGGCAACTGCGAGGGAGCAAGAGGAGAACGACGAGGAACAAGAGGACGGAAACAGAGAGTGTGAAATGAAAGCAGGGGCGATGGACGTGAGATCGCTGAATAACGAAGCGTGCAGGACCAGCGACAGATGCAGAGGAGGGAGAAGACGTCAACTAAAGAGACACCACAGGACGACGAATCATCAGAGCGCGCTCGGTTTTGGTTGCAATCACAAGTAAACGGTCAAACGGTACCGCCACATATGATATGAATTTCTGGTGTAACCCCACTCGCAAATGCACTGCGAGTACACATGTGGGTGAGAACGCGCTCGCTTAGTCAGTGTCCTCTTCCTCCTCCACCGTCTCCTCCTGCTCCTCGTCCTCCTCCTCCGCCGCATCCTCGATCTGGCGGCGTTCGAGAAGGGTGCAAGACAGGTGCATGTCGTGATAACGTCGGCGTTGATGTGTCTGACACTGCTCGGATCGTTCAACCTTGATCGATCACGGCCTCCTGACAGATCGTTCGATGCCGGCCGATTCCAGGGCACCTGGGGCGTTCAACCTAGACCGCCAGCGCTTGGGTCGCCACCAGGTCGAAGCGGCACGAAACAGGAACATGGTCGGATGGGCAGCCCATAAAGGAGCCCTCCCGCTGGTGGGCCGCAGGTGATAGGGAGGACAGGAGGAGGAAAAGGAGGAGGAGGCGAAGGAGGATGCAGAAGAAGAGAGGAGGAGGAGGAGGAGGTTGTGAAGGCGAAGGAGCAGGAGGAGAAGGAGGAGGAGGAGGACCAGTGTAAACACACTAGTCATAAGCGATGTTGGAATTAACCCTCCCTCCAAGCTCCCTCTTCATAGGCCCCTGCAACGGTTCATTTCAATTGAGGAAACTGCCTCGTTGGAAGACAACCGATTGATGATCCTGAACCATGCTACAATCGTGACGATCCAGAATCGTGCCGGAACGTCATTTTTGAGATTTCAACACCACGTATAAATGTAATTGTTGCACCCACGATATCCTGAATCCGTCCACAACACAATTTCTGCTACGCTGATCATGGTAATCCATCAAATTCTGTCACTTTTGTGAAACGAATTTTGAAAACCACCCGCCCTCAATCCTTGAAGCTCTTGCGCATTCTTTAATTAACGAATGTGCGCGGCGCTAATGCGAAAGCCACATTTCGAAAAACCACCCGACCTCAATCCTTGAAACAAATGCGCACGGCGCTAAAGCGAGAACCACATTCTGAAAACAACCCCGCCCTCGACCCGTGAAAGACTTGCAGTTTTGGGTAAACGAATGTGCGCGGCGCCAAGGCGAGAACCACATTTTGAAAACCACCCGCCCTCAATCCGTAAAACTCTTGCGAAGTTTGAAAACGAATGTGCGCGGCGCTAATGCGAGGGCCACATATTGAAAACCACCCGCCCTCCATCTGTAACACTGTTGCCACTCTTAGAGCTTCACAATCATACATGGTGAGAAAATCTCAGGCGAACCGCCCGGCCCGCCCTAAAAACTGTCATCGGGGTGCCACAGGGAGGAGTGATTGATAAGGGAAATGAAAGAGGCGAAGAAAGAACAGGAGGACAGGGAGGAGGAGGAGGAGGAGGAGGAGGAAGAGGAGGAGAAGGAGAAGAGAGGTTGAAACGGATGAGGGGGAGGAGAGGAGAGAGAGGAGGAGGAGGAGGAGGAGGAGGAGGAGGAGGAGGAGGAGGAGGAGGAGAGGAGGAGGAGGAGGAGGAGGGAGGAGGAGGAGTCGGGGGAGGAGGAGGAGAAGGAACAGGAGCAGGAGGAGGAGAAGGAGGAGCATGAGGGGGAGGAGGAGGGGGTGGAGAGAGGAGGAAAAGCAGGAGGAGGAGGTGGAGGAGGAGAAGGGAGGAGAAGGAGAATGAGGAGATGGAGGAGGAGGAGGAAGAAGAGGAAAAGGAGGAAGAGGCGGAGGGAGGAGAGGGAGGAGGAGCAGAAGGAGAATGACGAAGAGGAGGAGGAGGAAAAGGATGAGACAGGGGGAGGAGGACTCTAGGGCTCTAGGGCGTGCGACAACGAACGTCAGCTTCCACGGCTCCCGCTCAGCCGTCGAGAAATCGTCGGGATGGCCTTGCACCCGCTCTCCACATCGAGTGCTTTGCACTCGCCCGCACCTGCCGCGCCCCGCGCACGGCACACGCATTGCTCTTGGAGTGCCCTCGCACTCCCACCCACGCCGTCGTTCCGCCGACCCTGCCAGGGGGCCATTGCACAACCACAGCACCGAGGACGGAGGCTATGACGGTGCCGCTCTCAGGCGCGCGCGCGCGCCTCAATGAGCGACTGCGCGAGGATCGCCTGCAGGTCCTCCACCGTGTAGCCCAGCTCCTCGGCCGTCTCGTCGTTGACGGGGTCGCCCGTCTCGCGCGTGTCGTACAGCACCTGCTTGGACTTGGTGCTGCCCTTGCCGTCGCCGTCCGCGTCGATGATGGCCGCTAACGGCGGCACCACTTTCTCCGTCTCCTGGGGCTCCTCGTCGCTCTCCGTCTCCGAGTCGCACTCCGAGCCTATGTCGAAGCGTAGTGGAGCCCTCTTGAACCCCTGCGTCCCGCACATGCCGTGCAGCGCCTTCTTGTGCTTGACGCCGCCCTCTCCGTAGTACTCGGCGTCGACGCTCTCCGTCGACCGCTGCTGCTCGTTCTCCGTCTCCTGGGGCTGCTTCTCGCTCTTCCACTCCGAGTCGCACTCCGAACCGAGGTCGAAGCGCAGGGGGCCCCTCTTTAGCTCCTCATCCTCGCCCTGCACAACCTCATCACCGAGCGCCCCGTCGAAGTCGTCCATCTTCTCCACCGCCACGGCAGGCTCCTTCCGCAGGGAGCCCTGGTGCTCGTGGTCGCTCTGCTTGCACTCCTGCCCGTAGGGGTCATCGTCCGTCAGCTCCTTCAGCAACGGAAAAGCCGGCACCGGCAGGAGCGGCTGCGAGGCGCTGCCGGCCTGGTCCACTGGCGCCGACGACGGCCCCGCCAGGCCAAGAATATCGGCCCGCACAGCCAGCAATATGTCCTTGAGGTCCATCAGCTTCTCGTCCGTTGTGAGCTCGCCTCCACTCTCATCCATGGCATCGTGCTGTACCTCTGCGCAGTCATCCTCATTGTCCTTGCCCTTCTTGCCGAAGATCCTGGCTTCGAACCTGTGGGCGCTGTCGGCGACGTCGCTGTCGTCGCTCTGCTGCTCCTTGTCCCTGTTCCGCCTGGGGGAGTCCGTGGGGCTGCAGATGTCCTGGATGAGCTTCTTGCTGCGCTGTCTGGTGAAGTGCCTGAGGACGTGGTACGTCACGTCAAGGCGTTCCACTGCCTTGACCAGGCGCGCGTCCAGCATGCCGCGCCTCTTGGCAGCACGTGCCGCCACCGACAGGCCTTCGAAGGTCTGCTTGAAGGCGCCCTCGAAATGCTCCATCAACTCTTCGCGTGTTGCGTACACGCGCTCGGCCATCTCCGCGAAGAAGGCGTCCATGCTTCACCCGCGCCCGCCTGACAGGCCCGCCGCAATGCGAGTGTGTGAAAAACACTCGAGCCCAATGGCTACGGAGACAGGGGGAGGAGGAGAAGGAAGAAGAGCAGGAGGAGGAGGGTGAGGTGGAGGAGAAGGAGGAGGATGAGGAGCGGGAGGAGGAGAAGGGAGGAGGAGAAGGGAGGAGATGAGGAGGAGGAGGAGGCGGAGAGAGGAGGAAGATAAATAGGAAGGAGAAACCTCCAGGAGTAGGATGAGGATGAGGAGGCAGGAGGAGGATGACTAGGATGAGGATGAGGGATGGGCCCTCAGAAGCTGATGGTATCCCAAGGATCGGCCCCGAGATGGGGTGACGCCAGTGGTGGGGATGGGGACATGCTTGAGGCTGGTAATTCGCCGGCCAGAGGAAAGCGTGCCGAAGGAATGCACAATGTCTAGGAAGATCAAGACCTGGACAGCTGACCCCATTTGACCGAGGCCTTTTGGAGGCCTTCCCCACGGGGCCAAAGAACGGGGTCGGTGGATCGCACAGCGTCGCCGAGGCATCGGCGACGTCGGGGGAAAGCATCGCGCTCCAAATCTCGCGATCCTCAGACCCTATCAGACTTGAGCAGGGACCGACCGTCCCGGCATGCTTGTAGGCCTACCACGACATGTTCGAAGAACAAGAGATGTTCTCATGACATCACACGCGTCCTTAGAACATGAAGCTGACGTATTAAGCCAAGATGGTCTCAACCAGACATGTTCCAAGACAGCTTGGCGCAAACCACTATCGCCTCTTAGAACAATTCGTTGGTGGCCCTGTCGGCAAGCCGGGACGCTCCGCCGCTGCTTGACAAGCTCTGGCCCCATCAGAACCGAGGGCCCCCTTGGGCCGAGACGGGGCGGCAACGCCCCTCCTCTCTCTCCGCGACGCCTGGGCTTGAGAGGCGTAGCCTGGGGGCCGAATGCCACCTCAGAACAGGTTGGTCTTCTTCATGATGCGGAGGAACTCCTCCTCGTTCACCTCCCCGTCGCCGTCCCGGTCGGCCTCGTCGATCATCTCCTGCAGCTCCTCGTCCGTCATCCGCTCGCCCAACTCCTTCGCGACACGCTTCAGGTTCTTGAAAGATATTTTCCCGGTCTCGTCGTCGTCGAAGAGCCTGAACGCCTTCGGCTGGCAAGGGTCATGGGGGCCTGCTTCTGAGGGGAGAACCTAAGGGGGACCCGCTCAGGGGAGGAAGCATCGAACTGGAATCGGCAATATATGACCGATGTATCGGCGACAGACTCCCCCGAGCCTGTCCCCCTAGAACAATGCCCCTGATACAGGCCTCCCGAAGGGCTGTGGGAGACCTCGATGGGGCTCGGAGAACCTCGACCCGCTACTGTGCCCCACTGGCCCTGTGCCCATTGCCACTGTGGTGCCTTCAGGATCTCGTCTTTGGGGTCGCGGTTCAGGATCTTGTGCGTCATCATCTTCAGGAACTCCTCGTACCTGAAACGGAGCCAGGAACAGGACAAACTTGGATCGGGATCAATCGGGGATCTCTGAGCTCCAGCGGTTCTGGAGGATGCAGTGGGCGCCGCGGCTGTTCCGGAGCGTCCCTGAACGCTCTGAGCGTTCCAGAACGCTCTGAAGCGATCTATCCCGATCGCAGGCCCGACTGACTGCCTGCGGTCGGCCTCGAAAGCGGCCTGCGGTCGGGCGCGTTTTCACCAGGAGTCCCAAGATGATCCAAGCCAGTTGCGACGAAGGGCTTCCAATCGACATCAACATCTGCTCATCTGCCTCCCCCCTAGCCCTTCGTCCAGATGTTTCCGAGTCGCTGGCTTCGGGAGCTCTCGACCAGTCCCTGGGGACCGGCTTGCCCATGGGTTGTGGTTCGACGCCTCCAGGGCTCGGCAACGACTGGCGCGAGCGGAGAACACAAGATGTTCGCCAGCGTGGGTGCCAAACAGAAAGTTGTTGTGTTGCACTCTGGATGTGTCAGCTGTGTGACGTAAGCTGTCATGTAAGCTGTGTGGCGCACGCGCCGTAGTGCAAGCTACGCGGTGCAAGCTCTGTGGCGCAAGCCATGTGGTGTAATAGGGGGCCCCATGCGAGCCCTACCCCTACCCCCCACGATTTCTGAGGGGCGGGTGGGGTTCACTTCGCTCGGGAGCGACCGAGCGAAGTGACCCCCATCCTTCCCCTCAGAAATCGTGGGGGGGTAGGGGTAGGGCTCGCATGTGGCCCCCTGTGCAAGCTCTGCGGTGTAAGCGTAAACTGTGCGATGCAATCGCGCAGGGTGGCGACGAGGCCGCGCCCAGCGGCCACGAGGCGGCGACGGGCGAGCAGGCGAAAACCGAGGCGCCTGCCAAAACTGCTCTCAGAATTGGAATGAAGCCCTATAATGACAAGCTCTGCCTGGGGAAGCACTCCAGCACACACTCTCTCGAGTCGTCGAAATTTGGACTCCTCCACCGCCTCCTCCCGGGGGGACCCGATCGTCCCGCTCCCGTCGTCGTCCACGTCGGAGATCATCTTCTGGATTTCCTCCTTCTTCGGCTCGAAGCCGAGGGCGCGCATGGCAACCTTCAATTCCTTCGAGTCGATCTCGCCCGAACCGTCTGTGTCGAACAGGTCGAACGCCTCCTTGATCTCCTGCTTCTGCTCCTCCGAGGAAGGTAGTCGCACGTTTTTAGCACTCTCGTCGATTTCTGGAGGCCGGGGCCATTCGAACAGCTCCAGCACGCCGAGCTTCGAAGAAGCAGCACTGCTACCTCAAGTGCCCCCCCCCCCTGGTGAGGCACGTGATTCCCAGCCCTGGGGATGGGGCCGAGAGCTTGAAGAGGGGGCGGCGTCCAGGATCGCAGCGAGGAGGGCAGTCGCGCAGAACCGGGGGCGACCGGAGGCACCACCGACGCCACCCCACCACGGGGAAAAGCTGGTGTCTGCACCCCCGGCGCGCTGGTTCTGACGCCGCGTGTGTCGTCCTGCCTGGAAGGATCGCGGTTTCCTGACAGCGCGGGTCGTTCGATGTCGGCCGAGCCAGGCCACTGGGGACGCTCAACCCTCAACGCTTGTGTTATGTTGCTTCCATCGCACTTGAGGACCACATCCCAAAAAAGACTCCGAGCACCCGGGAAAGTGTCGAAAGAGTGTCAAAACAGTGTCGGACGAGTGTTCCCCTGGGACCGACACGTGAAGACCCTCGCATTTCGGTATTTTTCTGGTGCTCGAAATTCTTTCTGGTGAACAAGGCTAAAGTAGGTTGGAAAATCGTAACGCTTGTGCTGGACCACCTCCGCCCTCGCTAGGGTTCGGTCGGGCGGGTCCCCCTACAGGGGGATTGTGGGCGAACAACTAAAAATAGTCAAACACATTCAGACCAGATTCAAAAATTCTCGAAAAAACGTCGCCAGAGTTTTTGTAGATTCTTGGATATTCCCATTGTAGAGGGACAGGCACGATTCGATTCTAGGGAGGGGGAAGGTCGAAGACTGGGTAGATCTCCCTAGCAAGCTACAGCTGGGGGAGAGTAGTTCCCTGCCCCCCTAGGGGAACCCATCGTGTCGCCAGCTGTGGCTGCTCTGTTTCAGCGTCGCGCATCCTGGTCGAGCATCACCCAAGACGCCGCTTCTCAACAAACAGCGCTAAAACAGACAGCGGGTAAGAACACGCAATCAAATGTCTGAGGTGGTGTTTGATCAACCGTGAGGAGAGAGGGGGACGGGGACGGTGATGGAGGAGAGGAATGACACTACTAACTTTGAGCGAGCCGACGTGCTTTCCAGGTGAGACCTCACACCCACACACACATGGCTGGGGGTCGTCCAGTCCTAGTCTGTGCTGATGCAGGGTCGCTGCCCGTGCGACACCGAAACTGCATGTGTGAGGTGATCCAGCAAAGCGGTAGCGTCACGGAATCGGCGCGCCTGGCCTGTGGAAAATGCCAGCGCTCCAGGAGACGACAGCGACACAGCCCCTTCTGGCTGGCAAGCTGGGCTTGTGAAGCACCGGTGACGGAGGGCAAAGTGGCTTGACACGCGACACCTGATACGTTCGGCAGCAGAAGAGTGGTGACATAACTCAAGAAGGCAGTGGGCAGTGGGCTGTGCGGTGTGCGGTGTGCTACCGTGGTGTTCGAACAGAACGCCCATCTCGAATGCTTGTTCAAGCGGGTCCACTCCCCCCCGCCCCAATTTCAAAGTTCGGGGCGGTCGACGCGGAAGAGTGCGTGTCGCTTCGACAAAAATGCCCACATTTGCACACCGCGGCCTGCTCCCTTATATGAACATTGAAATTGGGGGCGCGGGGGGCGCTCTTGCACCATCCTCTAGGCGTGGTACTTGGGCGTTTTTTGTCGAAAACGCAGGCAGTGTCTGTGTTGTCTTGACTTGGTGATGGGTATTCTGCCTCGTGATCTTGCAAGGGCGGCCGAAGAAATGTGATACGCGACACACGATACGTTCCGCGGCAGAAGGGTGGTGACACAGCTTGAGAATAGAGGGCAGAACATCCCCCCCCATAAGAACCACCCCGACACGCGAAGCCGTTTAGTAAACGCACCCAAAGAAGGAATCAAGCAGGGCAGAGCTGTTCAGTAAACGCCCAGGGCCGTTTAATAAACGCCAGTTGTCGGGTCCAGGTGGTGGTTTCTCCTCCCTTGGGAGAAGGAGCTGGGCTGTTGCGGTGTGCTGGTGTCGGTGTTGGCTTTGTTGGTGGTTGGTAGTCTGCCCGTGGTTGGTAGTCTGCCTCGTGGGTGCCGGGAAGGGGCCTCCTGGTGCCACCTTGAGGTCGTCCCGGGGCCTGGCTTCCACTGCCCTCCACTGTCGGGAGGCTCTTGGGCCATCTTTGGGCTCTCTGCAGCCCTCTCGGGGCTCTAGTGTTAGGTCGCGCGTGTCCTCCTATAGGCGGACTTTGATCCAGAAAGCCCGAAAATACCCAAACAAGTACGAAAAATAGTCCCCAGACTATTTTTGTGACCATTCTTGAATATTCCTCCATGCCCGACTTAACCCTAATGGGCAGTTTTCACCGGCGGCAAACGTACGTCCACGGGATCGCGTCTCGGTGGCCAGACCGCGACGGCAATAGATTTGTTCGTCGGCGGTGAGGCAGAGGCAGTCCGCACCAGCGTGGGGCTAATCAGGGCAACCGAAAGGCAAACTGTCCGGAGTGCAAGAAGAAGGAACGAAGACGAGGGCGGCCAAATGTTGATCGGTTGCTAATGGTGTCGGGGCCTTGTACCGGACTCCAGGCGACGAAACCGACGAACAACGATGTTCCGACTACGTTCGTCGCTCGTGGAGTGCACCACGTGCAGGGCACTCCACCACCGCGCGGCGACAAATTATACCAGAGGCTCCTCGGAGAGCTCCTTCTGCTTCTTGCCGCCCTGGTTGAAGCGGCGCAGAGCCATTGCAGAGGGCCGATGTGCAAACTCGCGGGTGCAGCGTGTGGCAGCTAAGGGCCGATCTCACCGAGCTTGGTCCGGAAACAAACGCACCAGGGTGGTGAGAAAGTGCCGAGGACACTCGACTCGCCTTACTCTGTGTCGGAAGCCCGAGATGGCTACGGCAACAAGCGTTCGCAGCCCAAATACAACTGTTGTCCAAAACCGGCGGCGGTCGCTGTTGTGCAGGGGGGCCTTTATCTAAAATGCACAGCGAAGCTGGCGAGTCCGACAACGAATCCTGTGCAGAAGAAACAATTCCTGCTGTTCGACTTCGTGCCCCTTGTTTCCGTACCCATTTCGGCCCCGCCGATCTGCGGCACCGTGCCCACGTTCGACGAGCGCGCTCCACTACTCACAAAAAGTAGCTACTCGCAAATGGCCCGAATCCGCCGCGGGGGATTCACGCCCCGTGACATACGGATGACGACACGCTTTGTTTCTGACGTTTGCGAGTCGGCGCTCTGCGAGTCCTGGAACGCGCTGGGCGCCACATGCCCAGCCAGCAGAGGCGGGGCCGAGAGGGGAGAGCGGGAGGGAGCGGCCGGCGAGGAGCAAGAGGGAAGGGCGCAGGAGGGGGGGAGGGCCTCGAGTGCGGAGAGCGCAGGTGTGGATAACCAGCCTCGAACTGATCCCTATCCCTAAGATGGAGCAAAAAGAGGAGGACAATCTCAGGGATGGGCCCTCAGAAACTGAGGGAGTCCTTAAGATCGGCATCGAGGTGGGGTGCTGTCAAACATAGGGATAGGATATGTTTCAGACTGGTAAGTGGAGGCTGGCCACGGCTTCGCAGCTGGGCTCGCGACTTGCCCATCCGGTGGACGTCATTCGATCCTCCCATACCATATTGTTGGCTCTTGCGAGCCGGCTCTACTCGACGCTAAGCCGACGTTATATCTATGTGATGCCTTCGATTGCGAAACGCTAATCAACGATAATGCACTCCAGAAGCGGAACGACGAGGGTATACGAGGCTCCAATGATTTGCTACCGAGGCCCCCCATTGATGGAACCCGAGAGGCAGAGCTGCACAAAAGGTGGATCGAAAAACGGACTGTGGAACAGCAGGCCAGCAACGACTCCAGGGCATCCAAGACGGGGTTTCGCAGATCGTGGCCCGAGCCATGCGCGCGGACGAGAGAGGGGAGGAGGGGGACCAGGGCATGCCTCTCGAGAACACCGCGGGGGTCATGACATCTGGGGAGGCCTCGCGGCCCCAGCCACGAAGTCGACCCCCCCGAAAACATCCGCTGACCACGATGGAAACCACCGCAACCGCAAGTTCACAAAAAGATTCCAGGACGGGCGCAATCCCAAATTTACATGGCAGCGCTTCGCACTTGCACTCACGGTTCACTCTGCACTGCGCGCAGCGCATGCAATTACACGCGCCTTCGCTTTGCAGACATCACCCCAGGAACCATCTTAATAACACCAAAGGTGACCTGTGGGACCTGCGGGACCTGTGGAACCTGCCGGAATTGGGAGAAATGTTGGGAGCGTGAGCCCTGTGGAACTTGTGGGAGCTGTGCGGGCTGCGGTAGCTGTGGGACCTGAGGGACCTGCGAGACCTGTGGGACCCTTGGGACCTGTGGGACGCGTGGGCCTGGTGGGACCTGTAGGGCCTTCGAAATTGCAAAACTTGTCGTCCCTGCGAGACCTGTGGGACCTGTGGGACCTGCGGGGCTTGCGCCACCTGCGACACCTGCCTGACCTGTCGGACCTTTAGGACCTGAGGGACTCGTAGGACCTGTGGGACCTGCAGGACCTGCGATACCAGTGGGACCTGTGGCGCCTGTGGCACCTGTAGGCCCCGTGGGACCTGCGGAACTTGCGGGGCCTGCGGGACCGGCGCGACATGTGGGACCTGTGGGACCTGTGGGACCGGAGGGGCTGGGTGGACCTGTGGGGCCTGTGGGACCTGTAGGGCCTGAGGGGCCTGTGGGGCATGCGTCGCCTGTGGGACGTGTGGGACATGCGGGACCTGCGCGACCTGCGAAACCTGTGGGACGTGCGGGTCCTGCGGAACCTGCGGGACCTGCGGACCCCGTGGCCCTTGTAGGACCTGTAAGCCCTATCGGGCCTGTGGGACCTGTGGGGCCTTCGGGGCATGTGGGACCTGGGGGGACTGGAACTTGCGGGGCCTGCGGGACTTGCCAGACCTACGAGGCCTGCGGGGCTTGCGGGACTTGTAGGACCTGTGGGACATGTGGGGCATGTGGAACTTGTGGGACATGTGGGATATGCTGGGCCTGCGGGATTTGTGGGACCTACGCGACCTGCGGGACTTGTGGGACTCGTGGGACCTGTGCTGGCGGCGGGACCTGTCGGACCTGCGGGACCTGTGGGACCCGGGGGGCCTGTGGGACCTGTGGGACCTGAGGGACCTGGGAGACCTGCGGAACCTGTGGGACCTGTGAGAGCTGCGGGACCTGCGGGACATGTGCGACCGGTGGACCTGCGAGAACCTGTGAAACCTGTGGGGTCATTCATACCTGTGGGACCTGTGGCACCTGCGGACCTGCGGGACCTGCGGGTCCTGTGGGACCTGTTGGACCTATGGGTCCTCTGGGACCTACGGGACCTGTGGGAATTGCGGGACATGCGGGACCTGCGAGACCTTTAAAACCTGTAAGACCCGTGGGGCCTGCGGAACCTGTGGGACGTGCGGGACCTGCATGTGGGACCTGTGGGACCTGCGGGGCCTGCGGGGCCTATGGAGTATGCGGGACTGGCGGGTCCTGCGCGACCTGCGAGACCTGTGGGAAATACGGACCCTGTGGATCCTGTGGGGCCTGCGGGACCTGTGGGGCTTGTGGGACCTGTAGGACCTGTGGGACCTGTGGGACCCAGTGGGACCTGCGGGACCTGCGGGGCCTGCGGGGCCTGCAGGACCTGCGAGACCTGCGCGACACGCGGGACCTGCGGAACCTGCGGAACCTATGGGACATGTGAAACATGTGGGACCTGTGGGGCCTGTGGGACCTGTGGGGCCCGCGAGGCCTGTGGGACCCTTGGGACCTGTGGGACGTGTGGGACCTGTAGGACCTGCGAGACCTGTGGGACCTTTGGCACCTTCTTTGCGACTTGTGGGTCCTGTGGGACCTGTAAGACCTGTAGGACCTGTGGGACCTGTGGGACCTGCGGGACCTGTGACACCTGCAAGACCTTGGGACCGGTGGGATCTGTTGGGCCTGAGGGACCTGTGGGACCTGTGGGACCTGCGGGACTGCGGGACCTCCGGGACCTGTGGCACCTGTGGCACCTGTGCGGCCTGTGGGACCTGCGGGACCTGCGGGACCTGCGGGACCGGCGAGACCTTCGAGACCTGCGGGACCCGTGGGACCTATGGGACCTGTGGGACATCTGGGACACGTGGGACATGTGGAACCTGTGGGACCTGTGACCGCCGAGGACCCAAGTAAGGCCCTGAATTCTGGGACCGCCAGGCACCCAAGTAAGGACCTTACTTGGGACCCCGGGAATTCCTTATTAAAATTTGGTGGATCGACAGATGTCTCGCACTTTGGGGACCATCGAGGCCCCCCGGGGGGCATTTATTAAGGAACCAGAAGTTTCCTTACGTCCACCATGTTTTCTTGGAGCGGAAAGACCCAAAGTTCAAACGTCCCGGCGTGGCCGTCGGAGGCCCCCAACCAGCCACCCAGCTTGGAAACGCGCGGCAAATGTTTCGCCGAGGCTGAACGCGACTCTGCTGCCGTCGCCACCGTAGCTGCACTGCATCCGGTGATCCACTGGCCTCAGGGCCCCGAAGAGTAAGCCTCCTAGCGGTGTCCTGACGACCTACTGGAATCTGGGGGGGGACCGCCGGGGGACCTCCCCTGGTCCTCCTGGGGGCCTCCCGCAAACTTCCAGAAGGGGGCTGGGAGGTCTCCCAGAAGCTTTTTCTGGTCCTTGCAAGCCTGCTGGGAATCCTCCCCGAGGACCAGGGTCCGGGAGCCTCCCCCAGACCTCGAAATCTGGCAGGGCTCCCTCCAAGGGGAAACTTCCGGGGAGACCAGGGGAGGCCCCCTGGAAACCTCCCCTGGTCCTCCCGGGCCGCTGGGGGGAAACTTGGTGGAGGACCAGGTGAGGTCTCCTGGAAGCTTCCCCTGGTCCTCCCGAAAGCCTCCCACAGGAGACCTCCCCCCTGCGGGAACTCTCATCGGAGGCTTCCAGGTGAACCAGGGGAAGCCTCCCAGAGACCTCCCCTGGTCGTCCCGGAAGCCTGGGGGAGGCCTCGCCTGGTGCTCCCAGGGGCCGTGGGAAGCCTGTCGCCACACCTTGTGGAAACCAAGGGAAGCCTCCGGAAGGCCTCCCCAAGCCCTCGGGGGGATCAGGGGGAGGTCTCCAGGAGAACCAGAGGAAGTCTGGTGGAGGCCCCCTCCACCTCGCCGGAGGAGGGCCCGCTGGGAGGTCTGGTCGACGTGGAAGGGGGGCATCCCACCAGACCTGTTGGAGGTGGAAGGGAGGTCTGGTACCAGACCTAGTGGGGTTGGGGGTAACTGAAGACCCAGCCCAGGCAAAGCAAGAAAACCAGCATGGAGGCGAACGCGGCCCAAGACGGCACCAATATACCCCCCAGGCAACTCACGACGGCCCAAGAGGGCCCCTAATGTCCCAGGTAGCCCCATATACGACTCAAGAGTGTCCCAGGAGGCCCCCATGACAACCCGACAGTAACCCATGACATACCACATGTTGTCCATGTGTGCCACGTGAGAACCCCAGGAGACGCAATAATGAGACAAGGAGAACGAAATGGAAGAAGGGAGGGTGACAACATGGGGGACGTGGGAAGGGGGAGGGCGACGACGTAGACGAAGGAGTGCGCCCCGAAGCGGCGCGGAAGAGCGCGTCACATGTTGCGGCCCTTGCAACGCTATGGGCGACGACATGTCGCGCGTTATGGCTTTCGTGGCGGTGCTCGAAGACTCGCCACGCCGAGTGTTGCGCGGTCGCGGTGC